ACTTTGCAGAAGAAAAAAAAAAAAGGTCTTACACACAAATGCAACACTGTTAGGGAGGGTGCTTCAGAAAGCTTGCAGCTAGAGGCCTACAACAGCGCAAAGAGAGCTAGCCAAGGACTAAGGATCATTAGTTAAAAATTAAATTAGTTGTACTTTTCAAAAACCCCTTATTCTTGGCTATGCATATAGATAAAACTACACAGAAGAAACTCAACAAAGAAACAATACACCTCAACACTGGTGGAAAATGCAGTCTTAGCAAGAATTGCCAAATTCAAGAAAGAAAAAAAACAAAATGCAGGCGCTCGCATTGGAAGAAGAGTTTGTTGAATCTCTGGAAGATGAGGTATGTAATGCTAAGAGGCATTTTTATTTTGCTTTKCATTTCACAGTTTTCTGTTTGTTTTTGCCTCTCAAACATTTTGTGCAAGAATTAATAAATAGAACCAGGCAAGTATTTTCATGTATTAGGAAGATTCCATTTGGGAAAAGGAAGACCACATAGTAAACAAACATTATCCAAATCCTCAGCCATGCCAGGGGGATAAACAATGAGCTAAATATTTGGCTGACTGAAATATCAGCTGTTAAGCCAGATAATGGTAAGCACTTTCAGCCAGTCACAGCCAGTGCCATGTCAAGTTAACTGGTTTACTTAGGTCAACAGGAAAAAAACAGGAAAGASTAAGATAACTTAAAGCTCTGCAAAAATAGAGCTGTAAGAAACCTGGTAAATTACAGCTGATGCCAGTTTTAGGATTCCTCTTTTCCCTTTTAAATCAAATTTTCACACCTGAAGTAGAGGCTGAACTTTGAACTTACTTACTTTTTAAAAATAAGTTAAATGTTAAATACATAAAGAAAAGTGTTGCAATATATTCCTTATTCTGTATTTCATCTATGCTTATTTAAGCCATGGATGCTTATTGTCAATTTTGCTTTAGTACACTGAAAAATGCTGACAGCTCAGTAGTGCAATTTTTCACATTATAGATCAGAATGAAATAGAAGATAGTTGGGGGTTTGACTGCAGACAGAAAAGAAAAACAAGTTGCAAAGTTAAGCCACACTTTTCCAAATCACCAGAGCACATGCCAACTCTGCACATAGCAGTGTACTGTAGTGGAGACAGAATGAACACTCCACACAAAGAGAAAAAAAAAGTATCAGTATTATTAAGGCCATAACCTGTCACCATTCTGTGCAAGAACACCACTGCAGTAAAAATGTTATGTTAGAAAAGACAATCTGATGACAGGACAGGGCCTGAAGACAGACACACACACCATGGAAAATAACAGGCTGTCTTAAACAGTAGCAGAAGGCTGGCCCAGTTCAGACAAACAAGTATTAGAAATGTACTAGCACCATCAACTTTTGGGTTAAAGCCCTTAAAGGGGTGAAAAAAAAGGTTTTAATCAGTGTTAAAAAAAAAAAAAAGTTTTTACAGCACTAATCTATGTGGCAAAAAACAGGTGTCGGGATTTTTTCCCAACTATCATTAAGCTCAGTCTCAGCAAAAATCCACAGACAGGAACTGGTACAACAATATGAACAGGCCTCCATCCGGGGCAAAGGTACTCCACAATCCAATTCTGACTTGAGTTCTTCTCCCAAATTGCAGTGCACAAACAACATCACAAACATCTTAGCAGACTTCAAAAACAGTACAAAAAGAAGAGATCATTATGAATCAGAATCTACCATTCCTCTCTATGTACTTTCAATCTAAATCTAAAAAAAAAAAAAGCAACTAAACTTAGTGATATTGCCTCAAATTTTACCCGTATTAAAAAAAAAAAAAGTCACTTCAACACATCTTGAACATCCTTAACTATTAATGCTAGATTTTCTTTCACTGTAGTGCATAGTTATTCTGGCTGTTCCACTTCATTTGCTTTTACCACCAAAAAAACCCCTTTAGTATGACATGATTAAGTGTTTACCAGAAAAAAAATGCTGATAATTGCACTTTGTAACCTCCTCACTTCCCAGGAAAGTATCAGTAAATATGAAACTGAACCAACAATTCCCTCCCTGGACTGCAACCTTTAAAGAGCACCCATCCCCATATACAAAAAACTGTCTGTTTCAGCTTACAATAAATACTGACAGAATTTCTTTGTTTTCTTTTAAGACATGTTTTCTCTAGCATCAAATTACCACTGAAATCACTAAGGCCTGTTACCCAAAAAAAAAAAGAAAAAAAAAGAAAAAAAGAAATTTAAATAACTTTCTGAAGACACTGCGGATACAATTTAGCAACAACACATTCAAAATGCCGGCCTAAATCCCAGAGCCTGTCTGGAGTCTCATAGACTTTCTGCCATTGGTCAGTGACCTCATCGTACTGGTAGAGTGAATTCTTCCTGCTGGTTCTGAAAACGTGCTCTTCAACAGTGACTTGAGTAGCTCTGACAAAGAGATGGAGTTTGTTTTTGAGGAGAACGAGTTTTATGTATGGATTAATGGACTGATCACASGGGAAGTCTTTCTTTCGAGTCCACTTGTTCTGTTCAATGTCGTAGGCCTCGACGGTGAACATGCGCTGATGGTTCCCACAGGTGCCAGCTATGTAGTAGATGGAGTTGTTGTACACTGTTGCCAAGCCTTGGATTCTAGGCACAGTCATTGGGGTCAAAAATCCCCAGTAATCCTTCTGAGGATCGTAGCAAAGGAAGAATTCCCCTGGAAAGAGGAAAAAGTAAACATAATTTATGCTTTGTTTCTAGATCAACCATTCTGTGGCAATTAAGCTTTCAGGTATGTTCTTCCACAGACTGAAACACTCTACCATTTTCAAAACCCAGCATCCCATTAAACACCCCAGCAGGAACACCTGCTTTCTTTCTAGTGCATTAGAAAAATATTAATGGAGTGACTAAAAATTTCTATGAGCTTCTGTTTCAGCTGAAGCAGAGGGAATTTGAAGCACATCAGAAACACATTTTACATAGATTCTATTTACATAGATAGTATCCTTCATTACTTCTAAACCATGCTTATTAATTTGGAACAAAACCTTTCAAGATTCCAGTCTTGAAATGTCTGAAGTACATTTGTTTCACTCTTTATCATCTTCACAATGTGCCATCTGCAGATGGGTAGTCTCACAATTATTTGCTCAGGTTTAGAAGCTTTCAAACACTGACTTCTGTCTTGTACTACACTCAGATTTTGAAGTTACTCTTATCAGGAGGCTGGGTTACACATTTAGCCTGTTTTGCTTACAAGGAGGCCAGGTGAAAACCTGCACGAAGCTACTGATTCATAGTTAGGTTTGTGGTCAGGTTATAAAACATCTCTGCTGATCAGAGCACAGAGCAGGATCTACAGACTGTACCTAATGGAAGTCCAGATGACCAAAAACTCACRCTCTGTGCATTGCATGAAAAGAACACGATAAAAACCACCTTGCCTTTTGGAAGTAAAGTCCAGGGCAACAAAGGCGAATAATTGCCAAACATTAGCATAATTCCAATAAAATATTGATCTCACGTGGCTAGTTTAAGAATTTTAACCAAGCTACTGTGTGACCAAGCACCTCAAGTATAACAAAGAACAAAGAAATGAAACAGTAAAATGGGTGGAACAGAGTTTAAGAGATTAAGTCTTACAGGTAATACTAATTTCGGTTATTCATTTTTGTTTCACTATGCAATCTCCTGTGACTGACACTTGCATTCTATTGATATTTTCACACTCTCATCARTTTTTATTGACTACTCCAAACTTAGGAGTTTTCCCTAGAAAAACTACTAAAAGCTAACCTCTTTGTACCACAGCACAACTCAGTSAAGGTTTTATCTAGCCACCCATAACACTACTGCTTAGAATTTGCTGGTTAGCACAGGAAGTAGCTTATTTAAATGAGCATTCAGTTGTCACTTAAAGCACTGAAGTATAGAATTGGTGAAGCTAACATTTGTAAACAAGATGAACCGTTATTCTATAGGTTATAATAGTATCATCCACCTTTTATMAGTTCTAAGAAATATTTAAAGGACAAATACTAAGTACAATATTCTTCAGAATTCCTTTCTAACCACCTAAAGCAGATATCTGACCCAAGCGAGAGAGATTTAGATAACTTTTAAGCATAACAGAATTATTTAAAGCAGCAAGAGTCAAACATACAGAAACAATGGAAAAAAAAAAACTCTGCAAGTCACATGGAAGACCAGGAATGCAATTAAGAAATCACATTCACTTCTTYTGGTAAATAACAAGGACCTTACAGTACTCTCTATCCTGTTTGTTTCCTGTGGTCCAGCTTTGCATGTATGGAAGTGAATCAAGAGGAGCTGGTATGCATCTGAGACCCCACCTTCTGCAGGTGTTCACAGAGGTGGCCCTCAGCAAAACAAAACCGAGACACCTCCCCCTCATTCTTTCTTTCCGCTTTCTGGGCCTCTTACCACAGCCTCAGACCAGTCTCAGCACTTTTCAGTGTGCACTGAATGTAACGACAACACTGTAATTACTGACAAAAAAAACAGAGCTAACTAAGAAAGATGCTTTACCTCTTTCTAGTTTCTAGGATGACTTCAGAAAGCAGGGCAGGGCAGGAAATAAAGACCTAGAGTTGTTAATTGACTTTTACAAGTCACCAAGAATAAAGACACCAGGAATTTTCTCATCTTTAGCCAAATAAAATGCAAAGGGCTTTTTCATAGAACAGTAGCTTTTCTTCGTTGGTGCATTTCACCCGGTAAAGACTTAATAAAAAAATTTCAGAGTTAAGTTTAATACTGTACTGTTGACTCAGAAAACCACCAAAAATGCCATCTGTGCAATAATCCAGTACTACAACTTCGTGACACATTCACAGGGCATGAGAATTCAAGCAGCAACCTCCCTCTTCCTAGTTTTCCCACCCCCCATTGCCCAAGGGGTTTTTCCAAGTTGCTTAAGAAAACAGATAGTCAGAATGAATAATCCCCACTTCCAATAAAACACCACAGAGTCAGTCAAACCACCTTACCCTGTAGAACATAGATGTTATCCTTATACTCCACAGCACTATGGAACTCCATTGCTACCGGCATGGGACACACAGCCGTCCAGCAGTTCTCCCGGCTGTCGTAGCACTCCACAGACTTGAGGGAGTTCCTCCCATCTCCTTCATAAACTCTCCCCCCGATGGCATACAGCTTCCCACAGCAGTGAACCAACTTGCAGCCTATTCTGGCCCGCAGCAAAGGAGCCTTGGGAATCCACCTATTGCCAGAGTGATCGTACATCCAAAAATCACTCTCTGCTCGGTGGTCAATGGAGACCTCGCTGCTGCTTGGCCTGTAACCACCCGCAATGTAAATATCGTTATCAGGAGACACGAGAATTCCGACCTCCCTCAAGTCATTTGGTGGCTTGCATAGTTTAAACACTCTCCCTGTGACCGAATCTAAACAAGGCACTGTTTGCTTCTTTCCTGAGTGTTTGTGGGCAGCATCAAAGCATATGATCATTTCGGAAGCGGTCATTCCAAGMCGTTGTGTGTAGCCATTGGCACTGGGTTGTCCCTTTTGTACACAGCTTTTGGCCATCGCCTGTGCAAACACGGGAGGGATTTTCTCTAAAAATGTCTCATCCAACAGAGGCATACGAATGCATTTGGCAAATATTTCTGGAAGGTGCACTTCTCTCTTATKTTGCTCATGCTCAAACCACCTTACAATGCTCTCATAAACATGTTCTTCTTTATCTACATTTAAATCGTCACTGTTGAGGATACTTATCAGTTGGTCTTTTCTCAACTGAAGAAACTCTTGCTCTTTGGTGACACTCAGAAACTTCTTGCGAATGTAGTCTTGTGACCTGTCTTTGAGTTCCTGATGACCGTAGTGATCAGCAAAGATGAACACCCCAATGGAGTTYTGCGGGTCCAAGTGACTGATCATGTATTTAGCACACTGGTCTTGTATGGAAGGGATCTGGAAGATACTGGCTGCAGTGAACAGAGCTTGAACGTTGGCCTCTGTCAGCACTACTCTGGAGGTATATGCATAGTTCAACACTAAATGCATCGACTCTGCTTCGACACCAACGATCCGAACTTCCTTCTGGGTACTCTCGGTAAGGCCGCTCGTGAACATCGATCTGCAAAACAAAAATATTCAGTAGTTTGTCTGTAATTACTATTAACTGCAGGTGTAAAATTAAATATACAGCCAATCTCATCAGCACACATACATTTATACAAGTGTTAAACTGTCTTGTTGGGGTACCTAAATTTAAGATCAGTTCCACACTTACTGAAATTGAAGCGGCCAGCTGAAACTTCTTGCTTAATTATCTCACTAACCACAGGTTAAAATTCACTGATTTACGAGCAAAGCTCATGACAAATCCAAGTCTTCACACTCAACTTCTAGCAAGTTATTTCATGTGCATATTGTAGCATGCTAAAATACATACATTTCAAAGAAAACRAAGAGTTTCATTGTGGTCTTACTGTATTCTGGATACTCTCAGCACTGCAGGCAGTTTTGYTTGGTTTAAAATTSTGTGACATTTTCTCCAATGAAACCTTCCTTTGAGAAACAGACACTGCTAATTCACTGACCTTAAGAGAACAATAATCTTCACTTGTTAGGTACACTATATTATCTATAAATAAATACGAGATTATTATAGATATGGTTTTTTTTATATTTTCATTTAACAGAAAGAAGKTCTATCTGCTTTTGATCACCACCAGAACAATGGACCATTGTACCTGAAATAAGGACTGATTGCAGCAAGAACATTCCTATGACAGGAGAATGTCTTCCCATGATCCACTTCCACTACTATATCTGTCAGCTGTCCTTCATCATACATGGTTTTCAGCTGTTGGAGGATACTACAAGCATGGAAGGGGTCCATTCCACTGATGACTGGGTTTGAGGGAGGAATTCCGTTCAGTGTTTGTGAAAACTGACTTGGTTCTACAAAGCAAAATTGAAACTTTAACAAAAAACAACCAGTGACAAAAAACAGTCTCCAAAAAAATCATACACACGCCAAAAAAACATGCATGACCAAGAATTAGCACAAATTAATATCCTTCCTTTGTCAGCATCACCGCCAMCCAACAGCACACCAAACATTTCCACAGGTGAGTAAATATATTAAGGTGCCTCCATTATTTTGTTCCTTTTCACAATGTACATATCAGTTACCATTAAACTATACATTTCATATTAAAAAGTTAATATCCATTAACAGTAAAGAAAATCATACAAATACTTCATATCACTGGGGAGGGGGGAAATCAAGTCAAGGAAGACACTTACTGACTTACAAAACTAAAGACAACCAAGGAACAAAGAGGAATAAAACAAGTCCCCAACCTACCCCACCATTACACAAGTCTGTATGTAAATATTTAACTTCACATTGAAACAGGAACTGGCTCCTGCCTTGCACAAGTGATGGCTGGAGCAGAGGCTCATGAAGAAACTGCCCTACAATAAATCTGCTGGGCAGCAAACTTAAACTCACATAGAGTTACACGTTTTCGCTACAAATAAAACAGAATTATAATTCAAAATTTCTCAGGTGTGAAGGAGCTCGTATATCACCGTGGAAACATATTTAGTAGAGCATATGCTGCTAAATAACATGTGATAAGCCTAATGAAGTAAATCCCAAAGTGAAAATTGAGCAATAGCTCAAGCACAAAAATCCGTTTCGTAATAGCAACAAAATTTTTACGCAACAACAACAACAAAGGAGAGCTCAAAAGAAAAACATTAGGTGGCAAGAGCTGCAAATCAGGTAAAGCTGCTGACTTCAACAGAGTGCTTCCAACAAAATTTGGACAACACAAAGGGGCAAAGAGAAAAGAGAGCACACCCATTTTCACAGAAGCCTTTCATCAAACCAACTCCCCTCTGCCGGCCGCCCTCCCCTCACACAGCAGGGGGGTCCCTCATGGGACACACTCCTCCCAGCCTAACACAGCAGCACGCTGCCTTGCACACCTCCTCTCTCACACAGCCGCTTGCTCAGGTGCCCTCTCCCCTCACGCCATCATCTCCCATACCCGAGCACCGCTGCCCCTCTGGGGGTCCCCTCAGAGCCTCCCCAGCCTGGGCACCCCCGAACCCCCTCACACACTGCCCCCCCCGCCCCAGCACAGGCCCGAACCCGTTCATCGCCCTCCCTTTCCCCCCGACACCCCTCAGCACACAGGCCCCATCACCCCTCACCAGAACCCCCCGCTCTCGCACCGGCGCCCCGCACCGACCTCCCAGCGCTGCCATCCTGGGCCCCGCTCGGGCAGCGGCTCCGGGGGCGGCCCGGCAGGAAATGTCACCGCGCCGCTTCCCCCGCTCACCGCCAGCCGCGCACCCGGCAGCATCGGCCACGCCGATTGGTCGTTGCGCCCGCTGCCTGCTGGGATTTGTAGTGCGGGCGCTCCGCCCCCAGCGCGCGAGGCATGCCGGGAGCTGTAGTCCCTGATTAGCGGGACAGCTGGGAGTTGTAGTTCCCGGAGGGGGCGGGCCTTGTTGGTCGCGTAGCAACGAGGCGGCGGCGCCTGAGGCCGAGGCGCCATTTTGGGCCCTTGGGCAGAGCCGTGTTGGCGGTGCCAGCGCCTTGTCCAGGAGTGTCAGAACCTGTTCCCTGCTAACCATGGACGCCCGGCTGAAATGGGCTCTCCACAGAAATAAATTACCCCTTCCAGTCCCCAATCCCTGCAATTCTCCTGTGCACGCTGAGCCGTGGCTCCTGGGGCAAAGCCTCCCTAAGGGAGCAAGGGTGTCACCCTGAGATGGCTCCCAGCAGGCTGGGCAGGGCTGCCACCACCATCGCTGCTGAAAAATAATCTGCAAACGTCCTGATGCTGCAAGGATGTGAGACCCATAGCTGTGCAAGGCTAAATTCACCTTTAATGGAAACCAATAATGAGGCGCTCGGTCTGAAACCTTATTATACCAGGAATATTCTTAATTTTTCCAGGGTTGTTAACCCCAGCATTCTGTGGGCAGCCAGATCAGCCCTACCTGTCCCAYAGAGGAGCTGAACAACTGCAGCACACAAGTTACCATTTTGTTGCCCCTGATTCTAAATATCACGTTTATCTCTCCATCCCGGAGAAGTGGATGATAGTCACCAGCTTTTCCAGTTTTCTGCAGCCATTAGCCACAGTGGAAGAAGTTTTGGGTTTTTTTTTTCCTTTGTGAAATACAATTGACAAAAGAAGAATTAAGGAATGGAAGCATTGCAAAGTCCTGTCTGTTTTTTGGGTTTTTTTTTTTTTTTTTTTTTTTTTTTTTTTTTTTTTTTTTTACTCAAAACAGATCTAATACAGCTTCACAGCTTTTAGCTGGGAAGTGTGGTAGAGAAGAAAAAGCAAACAAAACCAATTGATACAATATTTTTCAATTAATTTCCCTTTAACTCTCAGAAATACTATATGACCACTTCTCTAAAGCAGGTGAATTTAAAGGCAGTGCCTTTAAACCCCACTGGTTTTAGTTTTGCTTGCAAGGCACAGCCTTCCCCTCACTCAGCAATTATCAGTGGTGTCCAGGCTGCTCCGATGATAATGCTGCACAACGCAGGAGTGATGGAGACTCTGATGAAGGAGGTGTAAAAGAAAATAGAACTTCACGTCTGCAAATCGATTCTGCAGTTTTCCAATTTCCCCATTCAGCAATGGCACGGCCTGTGAAATTGTCCCTAGAAATATAAAACGAAGGGATGGAGAATTCCTCCACTCTTACCCTTTAGCAAATGACATTGCCTGATACAGTTCATTTCCTTCGGTGTGGGCGCGTAGGCTGGGCTGGATTAGTGTTAAAATGCAGAAGCCAAATGTAGAATGTTTTTTAATACAGATCCCGCATTCAACCGGCACTTTGGAGCAGGGGCTTTTCTTGAAATGGCTTATCTTCCTATGATTTTTGGTGAAGCAAGTAAATTGCCATACAAACAGGTTTAGATGTGCTTGAAGAGGCATCAATAGCAGCGCTTTTGCTAAGGCTGAAGTTTTTCTCAAGTGGAATAACACCATCACCCCCTCCCCGCCCTGGAAACCCCCATTAGCACTCCCAGGATGCAGCACTCCCATAGAAGTCCAGGGATCTGGATTTTTCACCCACTTCTGCACACTATTCCCTGGAACTCTGAAGGTCAGAATGAGACCTRTTGCCTGTGCAAGCTGCTCTGAAATCCATGGCAGTCGTTCATGTTAAAGCTTCGTATAAATGGCATTTWCATTGCACACAAATATTTGAGCCTATTCTTTCAAAAATCACAAGATGTTTAAAGAGTTTCGTCTCCCTTCTGTTGCATCATTTTCTTTCTCTCTCCTGTCATTGTTTTGTCTGTGAAGTGATGCAGGCCCCAATTTAAGTGCAGAAGTGAAAAAATTTGAGTTCTTAGCTTGATGCTGCCACAAATTCTTCATGCTGTTGATTAAATAATTTGATTTCATTCATTCTGGCTTCCCAGGAGACAATAGGGAGCTGTGAATAGATATAGTCATGTAAATCCTATTGTCTTATAATATTTTTGGTATGTATTTTAATAATTTTTGGCACTTTAAAAAAGTTATTATTATGGCCAGCAATGCACTGAAACTGTTGGTACYATTTTAGTATTTTGCAAGAATTCAAAGTCCTTTTTATTAAGGGACTGGGATGCTTTCACTTATGCTTTAATTTCACACCTAATTTATCATTACTGGAGATGGAGCTTGAAAATATACACTTGATGGAGAAGTTTTCTCATTTGATATTCCAAAKGTTCAAAATAAAAATGAAATTGTGTCAACTGATAAGGAACACAGAGTCAACATCTGTCTTTTATAAGTGATTAGAAATATTGTCCTCCTTACGAGCCCGCAATTGGCACTGTGTGTTCTGGGATTCTTGCCTTCAGAATAAAAATGTCTTTGTCATGAGCCCAAGAAAGAAAAGATGGAAAGGAAAAAGTTTCAGGAGAAAGTGGACAAAATACTAACTTTTTCAGATGTTTGAGAACTTAGACGATACCCATTAAAAGAGTTTGAACAAACAATGAAGTCATTGAAAAGGTTTTCCTTTGTCATTGCACCTGCAGAACAAGTTAATTAGAAAACTGGTTCATCTGGTTGCCTTAAACATAGGGATGGAGAGAACATCGTATCTATGAAATGGTTGGTTTGGGTCACCTGGAGGAACCTGCTGGACCAAAACKCAAAAGAAAATATGAACCAGGGTTTGTTCAAGCAGCTTTAAAAGGGAACAATTTTTAATCCACATGAATATCCCCATTTTCATTTTGGATGTCRTGTTTAGTTTAAGGTTGTAGGAGGAGGTCACTGCAGCCTGCTTTCCTTTTTTTCTTTGTCCTTCTGTTTTTTTCACTGAAAAGAGGAGGGCATGGTGAAAGGAAGGCTCAGCCTATCCCCACAAGTGCCATATAGCCCAAAAAGAGGAAATCAAGGGCGGCAGAAGCTTGATAAGTCTCTTTAGTTTTTTCATGGCAAYATTATGAATGGTGGCATTTTTCGTGACTCCTGAGTTTAAACAAACAAAAAAAAACCCACCAAAATAATCCCACAGTGATTTCCAGAAAAAAATGTTTATCTATAAAATTTAAATACAAAATAGTAAAAAAAATCCTATTACTTGCTACTTCCAAATATGTCTCAATTACTATTTACAGTTCTTCAGTTATTTGTACCTGTTAATTTGCACTGTGACACTGTGAGAAATAATAGAGCTGATGCAGCTTCACTCCGAAAACCCCTCATATTTTAATTGGAAAAATCTTGATATTCACTGTGGAACAATCTAACCTTGAAAAACAATCTTTTACCAGGTTGTCTTTAATGCATAAAACACTGCTCATTTTCAGCAATTCTGTCACCGAGGGGCACATTAATTTAGTTGCACAATAATTTAATACATCGATCCATTGATTGAAGCAGAGARGTTTTTGTTTAGTGGTTCCAAGAAATCACACATTTCTTGCAGAATCCGTAAAAAGACAGTCCTGGCTGCAGTTTAAGTAGGGGGAATTGCGGATCATTAGGRAAAGTTGCCCTTCAAAGCCGATCGATGCCGGCACACTGAGCACAGTGGGCGTTACATCAGGAGAGAGGGCAGACTGGCAGGGGGCAATTAATGGGGCAGATATCAGAGTGCCTTCCCTGATTACCCCATGCCAGACAGTGGGCTCGGCCGTGCTGAGCCAGCCTGGTAGAAACAAGAACCCTGATGAGATATGGCTCTGCTAATGTCAAGAAGTGCCACTTCCTAGCAGYAGGAGCAACTTTATTGAAACCATCTGTTGTTTTGGAAGACACATGTGCACACATAGGCGCGTACTTCCTCCTCCCAAAGTCTTTAACCTTTCTCTTAAAGCTGACTGAAGTTGCGGAGCTAATCCCTCCTTAATCTCACAATGACAGGCTCTGCTGCGGTCAGCAAGTCCCAGCAGCTCATGAAAACCGGGGTGACTGGTGCCATTTGGGTGACGTGACAGTGATGTATCCTGGAGCAGGACGAAATAGCCATTCTTCCACTGTCAAAATAAAGTTTGGCAGGAGTAGTGTGTGATTACCAGGAGCCTGATGGAGAAGGCTGGGGTACCTGCACAGAGGCAAGAACTTGGTACTTAGCTGGATCTCACTGCTCTGMACAACACAGGGAAGAGGAAGAAGAGACTGAGTGAGTTTGGTCCCCCTGAAAATCTCATTTTTCAGCAGGTACAACCCAAAGCCATCTGAAAGGAAACAGCCTTGTCCACATTTGTCACGTCTCTAATCACAGTTTTACAGTGATCCTTAAGACACAAGGACCCTCAAGCTTCTCATGGCTGTGTTAGAGGTGAGCCTCAGAGACCAGGTTGCCAGCAGAAAATTTGGCACTACCAGAGAATCCTCTGAGAGTGAATTACCTCCAGCCTCTTTGCAAGTAAAGTATTTTTGTTGGTATTTCATACACATTTGTGTGCTTCTTAT